CGGCGAAGCCTGTCGGCTGTCCTCGTTCCTGCTCGTTGTCGGATTCGTCCGCGTCATCCCCGCTAGATATATCAGGCTCGTACCCCTCTTCTGGGTCTTCCTGGTACATCTTGACGCTACGTACCTTCCCACGGATGCGGTTGGTCGACTCTTCATCAGAGCAGTTGGAGTCTGGCTGAGCTCTAGGCACAGACGCCTTTGCCCCTACAGGAGGAGACTCTTCCCCACTCATCCTAACTGACCTTGTCCATACCTTTGTGTGAGGATGTTACAAAGCAGTATGGCATGGATGGCAAGACAGAACCTTCTGAAAAAGAAACAATGCACGACACATTATACTGTACTCAATTAAACTGTACTATAGTGTACACTTTACTGTAGTCTACTCTGTTCTACGCTCCTATATGGTACTCAAATGACATCGACAGCCCCACCCACCTACGTATATACCACAATAACACCTTTGCCATTTCAAAACAGAAAATTCCCAAAAGCCAATCGCGAGAACAGATTATCTTACCTTTGGATTTACTCCTACCAGTGATTTCAGATAAGTTGAAATCTCCTTCACATAGCTGTCAAATACGAAGAACACTCTGGAATCTATCAAAGTGTTTCAAAACTGATCCTTGGCATACAGTGGCATATGAAGTGTTTTTCCTGCTTTCGGAACCTTACTGAGGGGCCTCAACAGAATATAGGTGGCTTCAGTAAACGTTATATATGCTTTGCTGTCGAAGCGATCAAATTTCTAAAATAAACCTAAGTTTAGCAAAAATAATTGAAGCTTGGCTCAATCTCTAAGTTAAATTGAGTTTGTCGATCAGTTCTAATGTTGGATGGGGAAATTATTGTGTACATTCTAGCAGGCATTAGATAGAACACAAAAGACAGTCGCCAAAGGTCACAGAAGGAGAGCCTCAGAAGGAAGGAACCTCCAACGTGCCCAGTTGCTCTGAGCTGCCGATGGTTTGAGTGGAGTTTTTCGTCAGATTTCGGTTCTTCAAAGGAGATTGGTACGAAAATGCTAAAGGTTTGTCGGTTTTTCTATATCTGTAAAGCCTAGGCACGCTCAAGGTACTCTTTAACACCGGCCAAAAGCGCTATATTAGGACGGGATATAGTAACTAGAAAAGTACTGTAGGGAGAAGTGATGCAGTAGGTCATAAATGAATTATGAGGTCCATAAAAATGATTATGAAAACAATAACAACATGTTATACTCTGAACCTCCCAGCTGAGCAGACGTTGCTCTTAGCTCCACTCTGGATTTTTTATTTGGTCACACATATACCAGCCCCCCCCCCAAAAAAAACTAAGATAATCTTGTTCATTATTCCCAACAGGCTGTTTTTTCCAAGGGATTGACACAGTCATCTTCTGCCAGGTACTTTCTTCATCATGTGCAATCCTCTTTTTTTCCTAGTATTATATTTATACCTTCTTACATTTGTTATGAATATCATTATAATAATTCATTAATGTATCTAATGAATTTCCATATCACAATGAGCAATGCTGCATTAACCATACTTATTATGATATATATTGTTTTCCTGATATGTAGATTATGCCAGAGATGTTGGGGAGAAGTATTACCAGGTGTGTATTGGTAAAAAAAAAAGATAAATATTTCCTGTATCAATGGTGCTAATGGGGCTGTGTACCTAATACACTGTACCTGTAAATTATTTAGGTACAGGTCCGGACCTGAACATCTATGTAACATTAAAAGGGAATAATTCCTTAAAAGGCAATAAAACAATAAAAGAAAGTTGCTTGGCTACATTTATAACTTACAGATGATTGTCCAAACTTAGATACAAGTCACTAACTTCCTAAAATTACATAGCTCTAGGTCGGGTGACTGGGATTTATGTTGCATTGAACAATACAGTTTCTTGGTTCTACAGTAACAAACTGATAATATTGATATGACAGGGGTTGCACTGGTGCAGAGCAGAGGTCTGCGATCGAGGGAGGGGGCACTTCCCACAGCAGGCCGGCGCTTTCGACTGGTACGTGTGATCATGATACATCAATCTACATAATGATGAATCATTATTGTACAAGTAAAACCATTATTTTATTGAAAAACTGCCCTGTCTGAAAGTATTGTTCATTCTTGACACTTTGCATTGGTGAGGGTGTCGAATTACAATTTTTTTTTTGTTTAGCCACAGTATACCAAGGTTGAGGTGGAGCCAGTTTACCCAGAAGGCACTGTACATGAGGAGCTACTTGTATCTATGAAGGGCTATGACATGTGCAGTGTGGAGCATTACCTGCAGTTCCTACACAGACTCGCAAAGAAATGGAAAATTAAGGTTTCAGAAAGGTGAGTCTTCTTTTACGTTTAATTTTATCAGCTTGGGTGGCAAGGTGGCCTTGTGGTTAGGGTTGTTGTCTTAGAACCTAAAGGTTTTGGGTTCAAATCTGGGTTCGAGAGATGTGTAAGGATGGTTTTGACATTGTTTATTTCCATCCTCCACCCTCAGCTATGCCCTCCCGACTCGGAAGATAGACATACGTCATCTTGAGACAGCCAGTCGCCACAAGACCTTCTCAGAAGCCACACTCAGTCTCCACGAGAGAGTCTTAAAGGTGAGTGTTAAGACTCAAACTTTGCAGCACTCCTGATGGGACGTTAGACCAGAGGTACCATTTTTAGGGAAAGCCAGATACTGTAATGTGTGATTGAAAGCAAAGGTGGGAAGGTGGTCTTGGGTTAGAGTTGTTGACTTCTTCACTGTTGAATCTAAAGTAATACTCCCTAGCAGGCCCCCATGTTGTACCCTTGGGAAAGACATGTTGTACACCGCTTTGAGTATCAAGTCTAGTGAGGACCTGATACTCAAATGAGTACCTGGCTGAGATCCCACCACTCTTATTGAAAATACGTGTAGTAGGAATCAATCACAGTGTGATACTGTACAAAATTGTTTTACTGTACTGGTGTTATGTAATAAATGCAGTTTACTGATCATGTGAAACAGACAGGCTAATACATATATATTCCCCCAACGCAGTTGAAGAATGTGACCTCCACACAAGTCCCCTTACTGATGGAGGTGCTGAGGTCCCACCAGCCTGTCGGTCTCACCTTAAGTATCAAAGAGGTACTCAAGATTTCCCTTCACCATGCAGGGCTCAAAATTCCCACTTGTAATCTGCAGACAATTCTATAGCATAAAATATGTAAGGCTGTATATATATATGTATGGAGGTGTTGTGTAGGCATTTCATTGGTTGTCAAACATTTTAAAATTAGAAAGAGGACAGAGAAGAGTTCAAGAGGACTTGCAATATAGATATACTCTCACACACTTTTCCTCTGTTTTTTTAATTTAGCCAACTGAAGATGATGAGATGGTCAGATTCAAGAAGAACAAAGAGCTGGAGGAACTTCTGGAAACTCAGAGTCAAATGCGGAAGTAGAGGTCCTGCCTGCAGATCTGGTGCAGGTAGTTTATGTGTAATTATTGGAATGCCCAAACTGTAAAATACAATGTAAGCCAAGTGATGGACTAGCTCACTTTGATATTTCATCATGAATTGAATAGAAGCAAAAGAACAAAAATGCCTACTATACTCATAATTTTTCCATTTTTTCTCTTTAATCTTTAATTTGAATTCTACATGGCCATTCAAATGGTTTACAACATTGAGTACACTACAGGAAAGCTACCATTACAACATGCATACAAGAGCTTCTGATGCTGGGTCTGCATAATTCATTGTGTAAGGCACATGCCTGTTCAATGGAATTGGTACAGTGTATGTTACTATTACATATAAGCAACGCTAGCCAACTACACAGTAACTTATTTGCAAACAGACAGTACCTTTCTTAAGGATTTTTTAATGTTCCTAATCCTACATTTGAACAATTTATAAGAGTGGGTGTTAGTATTAGTCAAAATAATGTGGATTGGACTAGCCCTCTTGGAGTTATCACGCAATATCATTTGTATGTAACAACTAATGTCAACAAAATAGGAAAATGAATGATACATTTTGTACTTAAATGCACAGGATGATCACGACATGAAGTCAGCAGTATTGCAATTCATTGTGAGCATTTGAATTAAAATCTACCATACTTTTGAAGTGGTTTTACTTCGTAGTAAAGTACATTTTATGGTGCCTTAAATTCACAGTTGAAACAATTCTGTAGTACAGTAGTCATACATTGGGGTTTAAAGGACATTATGCTACTTGAAGATAAAAAAAAGTTTGAAAATTGAAGTTATTGCTATAAATGTACAACATCCAACCTTGATGTACATAGAGGATACTTAAAGAGTGGCAGTGACCAAGATTCTACCACTGTACATATGCATACATGACAATTCATACTGGCTACTGAACAGAAGTTAGGCCAGGTGGAAGTTTGTTTCTTGTCATTGAAGCTGTTTAAAATCTCTGGAGCTCTGGATTCTTTTATCTCTATGAGAAGCAGTCATCACAGCCTCCAACTTGATGGCAAAGGGCAATTTTGTTATCAAAAGGCTGTCTTAGATACTTGTCAAGTTAACAAGTTGGTTCTGCCTCGAAATAGTACGAAATCCTACGGTGAACGTGACCGGGTTATTCAGATCCTTCATGTTGAATATCACCTTTGAATTGTGGTCTTCCAGATCTCAATAAATACCTTTTGAACCATCAAGATGGATGGGCTGTACAAACATTGTTGGTTAGTCTATTTTCTTGTTAACTTGCTTTAGATGATTCTGTTTCACTTCAACTTCCTTTAACAATCATTAGTAATCATTACATTTAACAAGTCATAGAAGTCTGTCAACTTTCATATCCTACTTAGCAACATTGAGTGAAACTGGCCATTAAATCTCAGCATAATACATGACTGTACAACCTGTTTTGTGTTACACCCCATGTCCACTAGAGGCTGCAACCACTGAATGACTGAATGTTTGACAAATCACTCAACAAACGACAAAGGCAAAGTTTTGTTGTCTTCAAATCTTTTGCATCATCATTCCAATTATGAAATCAAAGGTCACATGAATCCAACTTTGGTCACGTAGCATTGCCGTCTAGTGGAAGGGGGGTTTTACTCTCTTTCAATGACATTCTTTGCAATGAGAATGGTTGAGGACCATCTTGTATGGTGTACAAGGTAGAATGGCTGAACAGCATTTGAATTGCGCACACATATAACTGCAGGCCCACTGACTACTTTTGTGGGGTATACAATTGCAAGTTAGACCAGATCAGTTTCGGTAAAAAAAAGTACTGGCAAACCAATAAGAATATTTTCACACACACAAAAAGAAGCTATCCCACCAAGACTGCTGATGCTATATAAATGTTTGTGGAAGTTGAAAGACCTTATTTTTAAGGCCAAAGTAAGAATTCATAAAAAAAATTGTATATAGAATAAGACGATATACTATTATCTTAAACCTCCTGATCTTCCAATCTCTTCTCGATCAAAGTACCATGTCAGTGGTACCAAACACAATTCATAGGAACATGATGCAAAACAAAAGTAGATGGGTCTTTCACTTGATGATGAAATAACCTAAAACAGTAGAAAACAGTATCTTCCAAACTGAAGGTCTAGTTAACTCACACTGGAATATTCTACTATCCATACATTTCCTGTAACAACAGACTTTGACTTCAACTTTTGGCCAAGTGGTTGCAAAGGACTATGGTTATCATCATCATCAATGGACGACGAGAGCAGCAGCAGCATAGCTAACGGAGCTGTCCTCCTTGCGGCGGCAGCGGCTGGACTGTGCGTAGTTCAGGAACCGCAGGGACAGCGTGTGGCTGTTGGCAGTCTTCAGGTGCTTCACAGCCTATCAAGAGAAAGTGAAACCCAACAAGAATGTTTATATGACATTTGGTCCAAAAACATTAAAAAGCTTGTGGCTGGATGAAACCTTATGTTCTTCAGCTTGTGAAATTGTAAGACTAAATGCTCTGATGCACCAAGTATGTACTGCTGTACATACAACAGACCTAGAGCTGAGAGACTAGAAGTGCACAAACCTAACTTGTTGTGACATGGAACCCCCTGCAGTAACTGTGTGTGTGGACCTTCATGTCAATCTACAGTTACAAAATCTCCCCCTACCTTCCTGCCACTCTACTGCATCCATATACCTATGGAGACACAAGCAAACACACAAACATACCAAAAATAATCCTTTTGTCATCAGAGGAGGTAAGAATGCATATTTAATCATCGGAACCAAGCAGATGTAGAGGGCCTTACATTTAGCAGCACTGCGATGGGGTGGCGTCCACAGATGGTGTTCTCATACTTCCTGAGGTAGGAGGTGAACTCAGCAGGATTCAGGTCTTCGATTATGTTCATGCCCTGGACAAACAAACAAATGAAAATATTGTCTACAATACAGATACAGACACAAGGAATGCCTAGTACATTTGAAATGACAGAATGCTTTTTACAGAGTGTCTCTTTTGTTTGCATGTTTTGGTTTGTATATCTGGTAAATGGTCTCATGGCAAAAGAGACCACTTTTTCTACATCAAGTATTGTAAAAGATTCAGAACAAGAATTTAAAAAAATTCAGACTTGCATGTATTCAAACTTACCATTCTATCTAATGCTTCTATAGATTGGTAGATATCCCCTTTGGATCTGTCGTAGTAAACGTATTTAAAACGTTGACCTGAAAATATAAAAATAAAATATAAAAATAAAATAAAGTTACGGATATCAAATCACCGTGATGGAAGTACATGTAATTGACAACAGTTCATGTAACGATAAAAGAAGACAGTGCCAGCTAGTGAAACTTCAGACAGCCTTACCCCAGTGGCAGAAGTCGGAGGATATAACAAAGAGGTTTTGCGGGTCTGCCAGGTACTTGCTGAAGAGGCGGCCGTACTTGGCCTCCTGGTCCACAGACAGCCCACCCACCAGCACAGGCACCACCGTGAACTGGTCCTTCTTACTGCAGGGAACAGGAAACGCACAAACAAACTGTTCAGTAAGATACCATAGATCTGTCCATCTGTACCGACTAAGATGGTATGGCCACCTCCAAAGAATGGACAGTGACAAATGGGAAGATCCTCACACTGCATGTGGAAGGCCCTAACCCTTGTGGTCCACCAAAGAAGAGATGGTTTGACAATGTAAGGGAAGACTTCATCCACTTGAACCTACATAACGTCAACCCACAGGATAGAGACAAATGGTGGGCTGCCATCAAACCTCAGTATTGCTGTGCAAGCTTGTCTTAACGCTCAGAAGTAGGGGTACAACAGACGATAAACCGGATTGTGAGTGCATTGTGGTTTTCGTGTTGAAAATGTCTGACTCTTCAAAAAATTTTTATGGTTGTTTCATGTATTTAGTATAACGTTACATTCTGCCCCATTACCTCTCCATGACTTTGGCCACATATGGCAGGTGCATCTCGATGCTGTGCTCATCCTCGTCAGTGGCGATGTCCATCAGCTCAAACTCCCCTGTCTGCAGAAGCTCCTGGTTGACTACAACACAGATATAGATATGTTATACCGCCTTGTTCTCATATTTACAAGAACTGTAATATTTCAAAATGCTTCCACTGGACAGTAACTTGATAGCCAATAATCTCTAAGACAGGAGAATTGGTAACATCTTAATCCTGTTGACTTGTTCATATATATTAGCATGGACACATTAATGTCGAACTGAGGACTCTGTTATCATAGTGCTTGAGACTGGAATGACTGGTTTCCATAGTGACAGAGAATTTTGAGCTCCTATTGGACTGATTTTCAAATAATCCTGAATTCCTATTGGTGCTCCTCAATTTTTTTAATCAGCCTCTTGGCTTAGAGGTAAATAGCCACAAGCTCTTGGAGCAGAAGGCCCAATCAGCCCTTGACAGCGAGAGCTAGGCTAGACCCACATTTCTACACCAAAAGATAAGAAGTTTAAATCCTTACTTCCTGTGTCTACAGTGAGGTCATATAGCGGCGTGTGGTATGTTTGGTACGCTGTCACTGCACAGCCATTCAGACGGTAGTGGTGGGATGGTCCGAGGATGAATACGCGTTTGCTGAGGGTAAAAAACATTATATAAGAACAAGCATTTTGGGTTTTTGTGACCTTCAAATTAAACCTATTTTGAGTTTGACCTTTTGACCTGAATGTCATTCTTTCCCCCTCCTACCTGTGTCAACCTATTCACCTTGGACAAACATACACTCAGTGACTTGGAGAGACATGTGGATGGACCTTCCTGTCAATCTACAGTTACAAAATCTTATCCTCCCTTTACTCCACTGTATTCAAATAAAGGGGACATAAGCAAAAACACCATAAACACCCAGAAAACTATACCTAGAGGTAACTACTAGTATCTACTCACATGTTCCTGGGATCCACTTGTCGATAAGCATGTGCACCACAAGCTCCACAGTAGGCATATCCTGCATGACTGAAGAGAAAAACTATCCATATGACATAGGTCTCACTGTCCAATGAGATCATTTAATTCTATAAAATTCTATTGATGCATTGACAGCGGAAACATGGATATTTTTCTAACCCTAACCAGTCCCCGCTGTGTGCCTAAGAAGGCAAGCTTGTTGTACTGAAGGACAGTTATACCAGTTGGACAATACAAACACAGATGTACATACGGAGCTATGATGGCGCGTGCAGGAGACAGCGTTGGTTTGGCAGCAGCCAGCCACCCCTCCAGCTGGTCATTCAGGTCTTGAACTACAGAAAATGGAAGAATTCACATAGTCAAACTTATCCTTAATTCTATGGATAACTACTCATAAAAATTCATCCACAAGACCACAACTCCTTGACTTATGCTGTTCAGTTACGTACAGGTGAACAAACACACTGACCGGTTCAGACCACTACATTAAGTGTTACTAGTCTTCCTGAATTTGGTGTTAACAAAGAATTTGAATGCAGACACTCATATAGCCAATCAGCACACTTCATTTGAAATACACAGGAAGACATCTGATTCCATGCCCAGATGGGGTTACTACCCGGTACCAGACTATTTTACCACTTGCAATTCTACCGCTCTCTGCCAGGGGTGCAACTATGTTGGACTGTTTTTTCCATCGGATCCTAACTGGACCACCTTTTCTGCCATCCGGACTGGATTACTTTTTCCACCAACCCTTCCCCAACATAAACATGCATGAAAAAATAAACAAAGGAACTGGAATGACTGGAAAAGTTAGGGAAAAGATGTGACGTAAAAAAATACATTTGATTAATTTGATTGTATCATGTATAACATAAACATTTGCTTAGATTTTGTTGCAGTATAAATCGGCATTCTGTGTGAGACTGGGCAACACCAGAGCCCGATCACCTTCCAAAAATTTCAGGCTGCAAAAATAATTTTATTCTTTCACTACACCGCATACCGGCTTCCCGGCTTTAGGAAAATTTATTAGTCCGTTTCTCTACCTACCTGAGGAAGTATACCAGCTACCGGCGTGAGTGGCTCTGCGAACTGACATCCTGGAGCTCCAAGCACCAATCTTGGAAGCAATGACTCCGAAATATTGGTAGAAACGACTGGAATTTTATTCTCTCCACCCTCTGCTGTCTTTCCCTACAGAAATCTCGGAAGTGTTGTGAGAGGCATGCGCAGTGCAACGAAGTGCCTTGTGGGATATAGCAAACTGTGATTTTCAATCAAACCGCCAGAAGACGCTGCTAAGCGGTGACTCTCGACACCGGAAGTGCTTTCTCCACGTGTGAGGACAACAAATTGCATCATTGCACTGCAAGAGGACAAACGATCTTGTGTGAATCATCGTTGGTTGTTTCCTTACTAGCGATCATCCGACAATTCCTGGGGATGGTGACTTTATACCGCGCTCTCAGGCAAGTTTTTAGCGATATTCATTTCAGACTGGGTGCCCCGACAATGCCCGAGTCCATCAGCACAGCAGTGCTACAGAACTCCACGAGGACTGTCGTTGTAGGCCTGGGGAACTACAGTATGCCTGATACCAGACACAGCGTGGGGATGAGGGCGGTAGACAAGCTGGCGCAACACTACGACATGCAGTGGAGAAGAGCAAGAGACTGTGGCGGCGACGTCGCGACTACAACTCTCGACCAACACAGTGTGATCGTCCTGAAACCGCGATCGTTCATGAACGTCAACGGCGAAAGCGTCGCCAGGACCGTTAGAAGATTCCAGGTGAAACCAGAAGACGTTATTTTAGTTCACGACGACTTGGACAAGCCCCTTGGCACGTGTGTGCTGAAAGAAGGGGGATCGGCGAGGGGACACAACGGGGTTCGGTCGGCCATCAGTTGTCTGAACTCTACCGCCATGCGGAGGGTACGTGTCGGGATCGGACGACCGGCATCGAGGGAAAAAGTGACTTCCTTCGTTCTTGGTCGTTTCAGCAGAGAGGAAGAGGAAATGGTCACGTCCATGCTGGACAGTTGTGTAGATATTCTCGTCAAGCAACTTAGGGAAAAGTCGGCCAAGTCTGGCGTACAATAATACGCGCTACGATATACTGCAATTTTTAACACGGCTACTAGGGGGCGCTTATTGTAATACGCTTATTGGGCAATTTTTGTCAGAGAGGATTACCTCTACTAATTTCCTAAATTGTAACTCAGGAAGAACTCTTTAATATATTGATACTGTACAATGAATTACTGGGGAGAGAAGAATGCACTTCAATGACTACTCATGATGTCATGACGTGTTACTACTAGTACTTTTCACGTCGATCATAACTTCAAGTAGTATTATATTAAACGTTTGCTGATAGTATTAGTCTTGTCAGTATGTTAGCTGTACTAGTACTTTTGTATTTTAATGCTCGCACTTAGCTCGATAGGACACAACACATCATGTGTGCGGTACACATTATCACATATTCGCACTCACACCGATTAAAAATATGATAGGCCAAACGGATGTCTGTATTTTTATTTATTTTTTTTTCCAACATGTAATCACCAGACGTGGTGACGGCACACTCAAGTTTTATCAACTTATATTAATGCCGCCACCAACACAGGGGACAAATACATGACAGGACATTACTCATTTTCACCTGAGCGAAGTGAGGAAAGTCGTGTAAAGTGCCTTTCCCAAGGGCACAAGATCGGTGGCATGTCAGGACTCGAACCCGGGACCTCTAGGTTCCGAGTCGCGCACTCTGCCGCTACGCCACACGACCCCACGTATTTTTATTTCAATTTACCATCACCGATAACAATAGTACAAATTCCAATTTTGCCGCGTTGCCTACATAACCCAATCCTACTTCAGCACTATCAAAATATTTTTTTAAACATTTCGATCAAGGACGTCCAGATTTCGACCTTGCGATCACACGCCTTGACATATTCTTACACGTAACTTATACACTACCGATTTGGACAAGCAATATAGTACAGTGAGTGAATATAGTACAACCCATGTTAGGTACACTAGCAGTTTGATAATTTCTTTAGGTACTTGTTTCAAAAATTTATCATTTCACATTGCATTATCAGGCCGGCGTTCCACCAAGGGTGACAGTATGATGAGTTACGACGAGGGCATGGCGTGTCCTACGGCGACCACGCGACGTGTTCCACAGTAACAGCACGACGTGTCCCAGAGTGATAGCACGACGTGTCCCACAGTAACAGCACGACGTGTCCCAGAGTGACAGCACGACGTGTCCCACAGTAACAGCACGACGTGTCCCAGAATGACAGCATGACGTGCCCTACACGACAGACGTGCCCTACAATGACAACACGACGTACCTATGGTGTCAACAGACTAACTGTTTCTTTCCTAGGAAATGACCGAGCCTTGTTCATAGGAAACCGTGTCCAATAGCGCACACCGGCGGTTAGATCCCGTCCCATCTGCTTAGTCCTGGCCACGAGCTTTCTCTTCCAGAACTCCACGGGGTCGATTTCCCGAGCTCCCTCTCCAGTCCCGAGGTAGAAGTTGACGTCGGGCGGCGCGGTCTGCGGGGGGTCGGGGTGCCTGTCCAGTAGGTGACGTTTCAGGGCTATCTCCCCGGGGGTAGGGGAGGAGGGAGCCGGGAGCGGCCTCCCGTGCACGACCGTACGGGCCCGAGTCCACCATCGCACGAAAGAATCGCTCGGCGTCAGCGGCGGTACCTCCGTTTTGAACGCCCTCCGTTCTTCTGTCGGACCGACACTTGTTATGGTCATGGGTGGGACGTCAGGGAGTCTCTTTCTCTCCTGCTTCCTCCTGGCTTTCCTTTTTTTGTTGGTATATGCTTTAGGGGAGGGTGGGGGAACCCAGTCCACCCTGCTATTATCGTCTGCTGCAATAAAAGGTAACAGCGGGGTTTGGTACTTGGAGTGCAGCGTCTTCTGTGGCGGGAAAATGTCCTTATTTGTAGACTGTGGCACAGGACGCTTACCGCTCCGCGAGTCCAACAATGGCAGAGACGAACCGTTCACGTCCAAACAGGTGGCTTCGGAAGACGACAGTATCGGGGCCGCAGGCATGTCGGAAGGAACCTCATCGTAGATAGGAGGAAGTATGGTGTTTCTTTCCTCTTCCTCCGGCTCTGGGTCCCGGTCCAAAGTTCGGCGGGGAGTTAGCACTGGCAGCGGAGAGTAGTGTTGGGGAGGGGGAGAGGTCCCGAAGTCTCTAGTGCTGCTACCATCTTCTGCCATCGGTAGCTAGCGTGGCCTGCTGGGAGGCTCCGAGCGCGGTGTTTACAACAATAGCAAAGTAATGAAATATAAACGATCGGACAGGGAGTATACTTGTCCAACACAAACAATCCGCTGAATGTGGCTTGTTGGTAGTCGAGTAGCTAAGACACGGCGAAATCCAAGCTTCTATAAATAAAACAGCCGAGCACTCCGCAAACCTTCCGGCCCAATCGCAAACAGACTGCTGACAGACTTCGAACCTCCAAGTCAAGTCCACACAAATAGAGCGAATGTCTCCCGAAGCGGCGTTGGCAAGGAGCACTTCACCGGCGGAAAGTAGCGCCGACACAACAACACTCCTGGTTCCCTTGGTAAGGGCTACCACGGTTGAATCCCCGTGAAACAACAGCGCCAGAAATAAAAGTTTTTTCAGGGTTGAAACATGACGTTTTCGGGGTGGATCGGATTTCTGGAGTCAGTGATGGTTAGTGAAAAACAAACCGTCTCGCCAACAAAGGAGCCATCCACCTGATCTCTCTCGTATCACGCACCGTGATACCGAAGCGTACAGTCCCAGATTCAAGAACTAGAAATGCTCAAAAGAGGTCTTTAAAAAGGCTTTTTAAAGCACTGAAGAGAGGTGAAAGGAATTCTACGTTGAAGCTCTTAAGAAGCAAAATCAGTCTTCACGGGGTCACAGAGTGTGAACGATCACATAGTAGGTCACCGTGCTTGGGCATAACAATACATAGTTGAGAGTAAACTAATAGGTACAACACACACTGTCCTTTCTGCGCCGTGTGGCCCAGTCCGTTGTGATGAAGTCGTCCGTATCGGGGTATCGCAGAGGTGGAGCTACGATAGTCTCTACTGTTTACATGTACACAGGAGAACTGTCGGGGGATTGTTCAATAACATGTGTGCCACTTGTTATCACACAAGCACGGTCTCAGCCAGACATCCCGGGACGGTATCTGACTGGAGGTTTGACGGCGCAGTCACATTTGTTGTCTGAGGTCGTCGTAAAATTTTGATGCCGTAGGATCATTACTGGCTGTGACCAACCAGAGATAATGATTTAATCTCAAAATCAAATTTCTAATCAATATCTAAAACTTGTTGTTACTCTAGCTAGAGTCCGTCTGGACTAGACGTAATCCGTGTGACGTGACAAGAACCCGATGCATGATCCTGTCTTACTCAGCTAATGCCGTAACATCGTTATCTCTACTTTTACAGCAAAATTACATGAAAGACTACATTTCAAAACTTACATAAATAGCCTTGACGTCCATAGAGCAAGCACAAAGTTCAGGATATTGGCTGTCACAAATCGACTATAGAAACCGGTATATCTATACAATATATACTAGTATATGGGATAATCTTTTTAAAATGTCTAAAGGCTATAAATTCCACCGATACTTTTTAACGTACAGTCTCATCCCATTCTCTTAGTATACGTGTTATCATATAACTGAAGATGTCACGTGCACGTTGCCAACTTCGTACAATTGCTGTGCAATAAACTTTATATCATAATCTTAACTTGAAGTCTCGATTAGACTTTTTGACGCCGTCTTTGCTGTGTACGATCAGCAGAAGTCAGTAAAGGCGCACTCGTAGACGCTAAGGACCTCAATGAGAGTACTTCCCATTCATTCTAGCTCTTTCAGCAGCGCTTCATGAATCCTAGACTCCTGTTCCGCTTGAAGCCTTTCTTGATGCTCTTTCGCCCACTTCTCGAGCAGCATTTCTCTTTCAGCTCGCAGGAGGTCACTTCGGGACAGAAAGAGGTTGTGAAGATTTGTGTAAATTGCCTTACAGGTTTTACCTATTACATGTATATTGGTACGTAGGTATTGTTTTCTTCTGAGTTTGTTTGTATGTTCGTAGATATCATGTGAATGTAGTAGAATGGCAGGAGAGGTGCAGATTTTGTAACCACAGTTTGACCTTCAGGTCATGTTGGCAGTCTTTATGGTCTCCCCACAGACTGGGTTTACACACTAAGGGCTTGTCTCAAAAAGCTCTCATTGTACAGGTTGTTTGAAAAGAGATTTTCTGCACTTGGCTGCAAAAGTACCTATGATTTTGACATTTCCAGCACATGTACTTCGCCTCAGAAAAAATCTACTTTCTTTGCTGTCTAATTATACATAAAGCCACTGTGAACACAGAGTCTCTACTGACAAAGTAAATAAAAAACGAAAGTGCGATGCACAAGAATCACAAGCACAACATTTCTAACTGGAGAGGTGAAAGGGTGGCCCAATGTATTTGGTAAATCTCATGGCTTCTTTCTCACAGCCTGGGTGACATCCGGGTTGTATACCAGGGCTCCCGTACTCGCTCCCCTTTTCGGACCAGCGAGTACAAGAAGCCTCTTCCGTTGCAAGTCGGGTGGCATCCAGCCTATCCTTCTCAGTATTGATAACGTTAAAACACAAGCTTAAACTGGCATGTCCAAACTCAAATGCTGCTGGCCTGCGCATGCCTAAGTAGTATCTTCCTCTGCCTCCCCTTCGCTACCCCCCTCTCCGTCCTCCGTGTTCTCTAGCAGCTTTCTACGTGGCGATACAAGGGAAAAAAGGAAGGCGAACTTAAATCAAGAGAAAAAATATGCATACCACTGAAGACAGAAGAGAAATGCATTTGCGGAAATGCTAGCAAGGAAACGTAAAAGAGTGAGTTCATCAGCTGTGAGCAAGACTCTATGGCAGAAGGATGCACTGACGTAACCTACCCATAATTCACCATACCGTCCTCATCCCTGTCCAGTGCACGGAACAGATCCCACAGCTGTATGGGGTCCAGATGAATGTCTTCTCTCTGTCAAGGAAATGTTATCAAATATCCAATGATTTCCAATCCAATTCATTGTTTGTCCAATACCGCAGTCCATCTGTCTTATGTAACCGTCCACGTTCACCTTGTCTTGTTGGGTAGCCCTGGCTATATTTAATATTAGTGTCTTCATACAGCCTAACAAATCTCATCAAATCAAACCAGCTAACTACTACATATAACGTCACATGTACACCTACATTCGACATACCTGTAGACCAGCCTTGAACTCCTCCACTGTGACCGTTAAGTTTCCCTCCTTGTCGAAACTCTTGAAGAAGTCGATGAGTCTGGAGTGAGTCTGGCGAAGGGCGTCCCGGAGGACCAGCATGGGGTTTGCTCTTTTAATCTTCTGTGCGATTTCCCCGGCTACCCCGCCATGCTGGATCCGAAAGTCCGGGTGTTTTTCCTTTACTTCCTCCAGGAGCTGTATGAACTCTGGACTCAGCAGCACGTCCTTTGGGTGGAAATAGAACAAGAAATAGTCATGCGATGAAGTACCAGAGTTATCAAACCGGGATTGAGGTGTTCAAAATGTGCAAGAGTGGAACTCGCTGCCACCGAGTACAATACGTTGGTGCATCCTCACTTGTTCCTTAATAGCTTTAAACAGTCTTCATCTACTTTGTAGCATTAAAGTCCCAGTGCAGTGTTATAAAAAGTTGTCAGTTTCAGTATTGACCCTACCTGTTCCTCCCACGCGTAGCCCCGAAGTGCAAAAACTGCACAAAAAGTTTCAAGGAAAACGAGAATTTTCCAGGAAGACAACTAGGGACTACTTTTGTTCACCCTCTGACCCCTCTACTGTGCTGCGCAACTTTGGTGTTTGCCCAGGAGTGTGTAGTTACTTTACCGTGAGGTCCAGTAACTCCAGTGCGGTCCTGCTGTTGATCCTGACCGCGTCCAGCAGCTGTAGCGCTCCCTTCATCATAACGGGATTCTTACCCACCTGCAAAAGACCAATACTGACGGTCAAACACAATTAGCGGTCCAACCAATGAGAGAATGGCAGATATCGGCTCGACCAATGAGAGAGTGGCTGTATGTTCGTCAAATATTTGCATTTCTACGTTTTGACGGAGGTGGGCGGGGCTTTGCGATCGGTTAATAGGGAAGCAACGTCACACATTCTACTTCAAATTGTAACAGTAACTGTACCCACCCTGAGTGACTTGAGAGTGTCGTTCTCTGCCACGCCCTTGGCCAGATAGGCGGCGCCCTGGTACGTGATCCTATTGTTAGTGATATCCAATGACGTCAGGACGTTATTGAACTTGAGAGCTTCAGCGAACCCCAGCGCGCCCTCATCGGCGAACCCATTCCACGACACGTCAAGACATTTCAGTGTCGTGTTCAGCTGTGGGAATGAAAAAGGAAAATGTTCCCATTTGATCAACGTCCCATATAAATACAATGACCATTCCAAAATCGTTACTTTCCTGACTGTCTGGGGATTATCAATTATACATGTGCATCGATGTGTACCTTATTGTTATTAAAAGATATAACTACAACTTGAAGTTGTGTTGTGTAGTTATATCTTGCAAACCGCTACAGGCCAGTATAAAATCATCGCACCTTCAGTCCGTTGCAGATAGCGAGAGCGCCCTTCCCACGCAGCTGATTCCAGCTCAGGTCCAGCTGCACCATAGAATCATTCGCAGCTGAAAGATACGCAGCGGAAAAAAAAAGAACTACCACTGATAGTACTAAAAAAGTATTTTATAAGAGATCTGAGATATCAGACTTCCGGGCGGTATGCAATCCTAGGCTTACTGAATTCCCCAATGTCAACCTATAATTCCTGTTAAATTGAGACCTTTGACCTTCTGTTATCTGAGACTGTCAATCTTCCCCATCCACGTGCTGGCAACTATTCCCTCCGGGAAAATAGATGCAAAACCCAGCGCTCAGCCATCCAAAATAATACTTCCGGGTAAGAAATGTACCAAAACTGAACGACTCGAAAATTTCACCCGGAAGGTAGATTGACAGGTGGTATTACCGATGGCGTTTCCAATGTGCTCCCCGTCTGAGAACAAATTATAGCTCAGATTGACCTCCTTCAGCTGATAGTTGTTCTGTGGAGTACAGGGAGGATATGTAACATGAATATGGATGAAGACACTAAAACATCTCTCAAATGACCCATATCAAACAAAGAGAATACTAGAAGAATACGTCAGGAATAGCCAGAAAACACAAACATGATGTATACAATTGCATACTATATCATCCAATGAAATACAAAGTGTAGTTACATCTTGCAAAGCATCTGGAGCAGTACCCATATGAACACATGTTCATCGCACCTGCAGGGCGTCAACAAACAATTGTCCATCCTTGTCTCTGAACTCGTTCCCTGTGTTAGAAAAGACCAGCATTAATATTTTCAGCAGTTTCTGATTCCATTGTAATGTACGTAACAAGAGGATGAGAAGCAGCGGTACTGAGTGACGCCTTACCCGCCAAGTTGAGCGCCTTCAGCGTGGTGTTCTCTTGGAGCATCTCACAGATGGCCTGCGCACCCACGGACCCAAGCTTGTTATTAGCCAGGTTCTGTCAAACAACAAAAACGAAGATATATGTGAGTTGGCACTGGACTTGCTGAAAGTATCTTTTGAAAGACGTATAGAACGCAAGGCTTATAAAAGTATATTGTTCAGAAAGGAGGGAAAATGAAGTAGTGCGTGCTATAGACAGGTAAAGCAACGCCAATCTGAGTGTGCTCTGAGTGTGATATAGATGTTTTGTAACGAACTTTTGTAACAGTAACTGAGTAAAAGTATACACCTGGGGTGTGGGGAAGAGTAGGGAGGTCTACGAGTGGGGTGTGGGGAAGAGTATTGAGGTGTACGAGTAGGGTGTGGGGAAGAGTAAGGGAGGTCTACGAGTGGGGTGTGGGGAAGAGTAGGGAGGTCTACGAGTGGGGTGTGGGGAAGAGTATTGAGGTGTACGAGTGGGGTGTGGGGAAGAGTATTGAGGTCTACGAGTGGGGTGTGGGGAAGAGTAAGGAGGTGTACGAGTGGGGTGTGGGGAAGAGTAGGGTGGTCTACGAGTGGGGTGTGGGGAAGAGTATTGAGGTGTACGAGTGGGGTGTGGGGAAGAGTATTGAGGTGTACGAGTGGGGTGTGGGGAAGAGTATTGAGGTGTACGAGTGGGGTGTGGGGAAGAGTAAGGAGGTCTACGTGTACAGTACAGTCAAATAATGAAACGGTGAATGAGGCGTACACACAAGTACAGCAGAACAACGTGCCTTTGCTACTGATGCCAAAACTCAGAACGAACAGCGCCCCCTAGTACGTATGCAGAGGCCGGCATGAGTACGCTGGTGGAAGATCCAACATATTACACGGATCACGATAGGAAATGAAGAAGTTGTACCAGTTCAGAGATGTAACAGTTCTCCTTCAGCATGTCTGCAATATGCTTCCCGCCCTCCCCACACAGCCAGTTGTCCTCTAGACTCAGCTGCGTGATGTAGGTGTTGGTCTGCGGTAGGAATACCAGAAATAACCAATCATAGGCGAAACAGGTAACTGAATAATTGCAACTATTAACGTTAGATGACACACACACATGACCTCTGTAAAGGGGAAATACTACTAGGCAGCTAACGTTATTAGCCTGATAATAATCGTCCATATCAACAGAAGACGGTCGTCAACAAAATCAAGTTGGGCAATATTCATTAATCCCAATTTGAATGTGGACGCATAGAAATGTTAATATTTGACAACCACGTAGCTAGTCCCTCTCTCATTGGTCAAACCGCTAATTGCCATGCTATCATTGGTTGAACTGCTAATTGTAATTGCTCTATCAGGACGCATTCAGAATGACGCACGTGCAGCGGAATAGCGATGCACCTGGCACCCATGGCGCCCAGCCCGTGGTAGCTCATGTCCAGCACTTCTGATGCCACGTGGCGGAGGAAGTAGGAGGCCGGCACGACACCTGTCCGCTCGCACAGCTCCAGGTAAACACGCTTCATCTCACACACAGGGTCGTAGTCCCGCCGCTCGTCTGGGACAAGGCAAATTTTCAATGCATTCACATTCATTGTAGGTCGTCATACGATTTTCATGTAGTTTTTTTCAAGCAGGCTGTGACAGAAACAACCGTCGGTAATACTGTTTTTTTTTCGATAACAAGACAGTTGAATTTCGTACGTACACTTGCACGACTAGTACAATCCCAAGCATGTCCTTAAGTTTGTGATCGTACCGTGACAAATGTGACCGCGCCCTTACCTCCTGTCTCCAGGTCTGTGTCATACTCCTCATCGCTGTCCTTCTGCACGTCTGGCACATCGGAGTCCACCTGCTCCGCGGAGCCGGGCTGATCACTGCCGTGCTCCGGTGCACACGGAGAGGTCTCACCATCCTCTTCCTCACCAGCGGGACGCGTGGGAGACTCTAACTCGCCCTGGTCACAGGGAAGTTTATTTTGGACCAGTAAGCAACTACGCCGCATTGTGCACACTGGCTATGTCGGCGGGACGGACGATTTTGAGGCCGTAGAATTTTCACTCAGGTTCTGACAGAACCAACCACAGACAAGTATCTTTTCCCCAACAAGACAATTGAATTTTGTACTACATACACGAACACTCTGAGTTTGCGATCGCACGGTAATCATACGACGTATGTCACCGCTCATCGTCTCCACCAAAACCGGGTAGACGTCTGACTTAGGGACCGTGCATTTCTGAACTGAAGTTAGAGATACCCACGCATAAAGGTTACCCAAAAGACCCTAGAAAACCGTGGCGGGCATTTGTCTGGTGAGTGTACTTAACTTAACTGATAACTGGGCTGTGAGTAGTGATCTTGTTTGTTCATTTGTATATGGGTGTGCGCGTGTCCTTGTGCGTGTGTCCATCATGTGCGTGTGTGCGTAAGAGCACCGACTTGTACATAACAGGACACATTGATTTTGACAATGACACGAAACACCCCCTAATAAAATTTTTACGATTGACATTTGCTCTTCACGTAAAGAAATCACCGCCGCTCCTTCTTGCTAGAAGGTAAACATTAAAGATTCATGTCCACAGGACCCATAGTCACGACATAAAAAGACGAACTCAAACCGGCAATTTAAACGCATGGCTACTACAGCAAATGTCTTATGCAAACAATATAAACATGTACTAATTTTTTTCTATTTGCCTTCATTTTTATACACATATCTACAAACAATAGTCGACCAGCCAGCAACAAATGAAACAATTGACGAACAAAAGTACATGAATATAGATAAGATTAAATCATTGGTAACAATGCACTTGGATACTGATATTGGTAAATCCGTGCTGCCGTGTTTAGGCGCAAACATAGTAACGGGGCTGAATAATATAAGACAGAAAAAACACTTCAAAGAAGTAGCCCTACCTCTCCTGTTAGTTCTGTGGACTCGTCCATCTGTCCCGGGTCTGACGCGGGTGGATGGTCGACCACCAGCAGCTGTACCGACATATTTGTTGGGCTTTAGGCTTCACTTCTCCGTTAGGACACGTTGAAGTACAGAAGGGATCAATGTAACTATAAACGTACATTCCAGAAGTACTCTGACAATCGTGTTCTAGAATAAGGTCGTCGGCCGATCCTATATCCATCTCCGTGAAATACAGATAAGCTCGAAAATGCTAATATCTGACGTATATGCAGACACTTTCTCCTTTGTCGAGCAGCTAATTACTATGCTATCATTGGTTGAACTCCTAATTGTGGTGGACAGTCTGAGGATGGGTCGATTATTAGATTTCCCATGGGAGTTCCAGTGGGTCTGGTATTTTTGCCTTTAAGGTCAAATGAAAGTTGACATCACATGAGCACATATCTATTTCGAGGACGTAATTTGTTGTATACAGCATTTAAGGAGTAAAATACAAAACAGAATGTTTCATTTCATTTTGTTATGACGAAGCACCATATGGAACATCTTTCTGTAACCACGAACTGTTGTCCTGCAACAATGATGTTCTGGTTCTGACGTTTAAAAAGTCTATTGTAACATCAGAGATTATGGGAGGTTACGCGGTTGCCTTTTTACGAGTGTCCGTCTGTGTATTTAATGAACCTACCATGTACATGTACTTGGTTCCGGCTATACACAGTTGCTCCAAGATCGCACATGCAGATTTTGTTTCAAAATTGATACCTGACGTATGCTATCAATTTTCACTTATTAATTTAATACCTATATGGACGCTTTTACTTAGAAGTACTGAATAATTTTGAAACACTGCATTACTCAGTAAATCAATGCGGTTTTTTTCGCCTACAGCAAACCACGATACCAATACAACGGTCACTTCAGCACCATGGCCAGGGTCTATCCCACAGCCAAACATTATCAGCACTCCGTAGTTTGTACCGTTCTGTACAGTAGTGTTGCCCAATGTACTTTAGACATTCTCTTCCAATGACGAAGACTAAAGCAGATATGACATGGGACACAAGGTTAGGAGTGATATGCTATACTCTAGTTCAATCCTGGCACCATCATAGGCCAGGAATTCTCTCATTGGCTGAATTGCTAATTATGACTTCTTGGACTTGTTTGTTGATGAGACCAATATATTACTCTGCCACGCAGCTGGAAGAACAGAAGCATAAAAATTGCACCTTTATTTTCATACATTCAATGAAACCTACATACATGTACTTGGTAATATCTTAAAATGACATAAGCACTATCTGACCCATTGCCACCAATGCTAAAGAACCAAACACACATATTAAGAGTAAGAGTTTGACCCAGTGTGCTTGGCCCAGCTAAGGGCCTTATAACAGGTCCAAGTCTTCTTTCCTGTCACTTGATGACCAATGAACAAACAGATCATCAAAGACATACCAGTATACCATACATATGATACATATGTCACAGACATTTCACATCACAACAGCACAGCATGGTATCTCCATTTGTACATTGTTAGAATAAGTATCCATTGGTAAATTTTCGTTTCAAAATTCTTTAAGAAAAACAATCTATTGTCTCCATGGTAGGATTTGAGGTAACAATAATATATGACACATGTACAGGGATGTTTTAGCACCAGCAATATGTAGAATGCAGAAACACAAGTAGACTATTGTTTTATCATGTTGATAGTCAGGATAAAGATATTTTGCTGGTGCTTGAAGATATAAAATCCACTCGTAACTAAACCTTGAAGATGTGCAATGCTATGATGGCCGACATACTGAGTGTGTAACAAACTGGTCACATTCATTGTTCATGATGTATATATCGTAAAATTTTCAAGCAGGCTGTGACAGAAACAACTGCCAACAAGGATCTAATGCATCATTTTCCGTACCCTGAATTTTGCATGCAAGAATGTCTTCAGTTTTCTATGGTACCATACGATGAAAGTGACCGGGCCCTTGCGCGGAAATGCTAGCTGCCAGTGAAGTTCTTGAATCAGGCTGTGCGTATAACAATTGCACAAGTCATGGAACACATCACCTGAAGGACACTTTTTATACACAAATATTGCAACAGTAAGAGCCTACACCAAGGCATTTGGCATCTGTTTAGAAAAAAAGAAGGGAAACTTATGCATACAAATGGACATATTAAAGTGTAAGGCAACTTTGTGCTCTAGTACAAAAGACAAAATACATGTATGTCAACTACCTGGCACACTTGGCTGTTTCCTTTGCTGAATTGTCTTTGAAAAAACCTATCCCATATTATATAAAATAATTACTCTTTACAAGTACCTATAGGGCATGAAAGTAAACAGGGATACAATAGTACAATTCGATTACATGCTGTTTGTCAAAGTCTGTCTTACTGCAAGGTATTTATATCTTTTAACATGAGTAATCTCTAGTTCATTTACGAATTGAAATATTTTCCACATTACACTCCTTAAGTATATGGGCACTGCATTATTTCACATTTCTTTGCATTCTTAATTTCATCTTGTTCGTAAGTGTGGAGATTTCTGGAAATTTGTCAACAATCAGTATACATTTATTACTCATATCTGTACATGTGTCTCTCTTCAGTCATTTTTCCTGGTGAAAATATTTAACATTAAACTTGACTGCCAGATTATCAATTGAAAGGACTATTCTGATTATGGTACAACTTTAGCATGACATGATTTTCTGGTTTTTGTAAGGACTCAAGCCTGGATCCTAGCATTTTTAGCTTTATCTCTTGGCTGCTTGAATGCCAAAATAACTGGGCCTGCACATATTCTATCTGTCTGGTGATGATGGTGTGTGACAAGTTGATTCAACCATTGTACTCTGGGCAGGGCCACTGCTGATTGGATGACACCATAGAGGCACTCAGGTTTGGCTGGCCAATCAACTGCTTGTTAAAAATATTCAAACGACAGATGGGTAGAATATGTGTGGGCCCAGACTTTTTGGCTGACATGTGACCAAACAAGTGAACTAGAGCTAGAATGGCTGGCATCCAGGCTAGAAGAACTCAGTGTTTGTAAAAAGTATTTCAGGACCTGTAGGGAATTAGGCCATGCCGAAGCCCTGAGATCCCTCGGTGATGGCCAGGATTAACATCTTGTGGAGCTGCTCACAAGAGTCGTAGTCTGGCAGGCACAACTGGTTAAAACTGGGGTGGAAAAAAAAACAGTTCACCAATTAAAAAACACTGATCAGTACTGTCTAGCATTGACACATAAAAAAGGGAAAACTCTGATCAAATTTCTTGTTTAAGTTTAATGTCACTACAATGTACTGTCCATGTTGGTCCGTAATATCATTAATTAAAGTTCCTTTTGTAGGATTGGAAGGATAAAAAAATCAATATTTTGGTAGTATCTTTTGAAAAAAAATTTGTACGATTTAAAACAAACAAACAAAAAGCAGACAAACAAAAGCATCCCTCACCAGGTATGTGCAGTGGGCAGCATGCCCCTGAGGGGGACAGAACAGATCTGGAAGCGAGGGTTGAGCTCAGCAAACCCTCCTGGTGGCAGCTGGGAGCTGCCTGTGGTGAACTGGAGTAACCTGGCCATCTCCTCCTGCGTAAAGCTTGCCACTATAGTCCAAAACCAGTCCAGGACCTGAAACATTTCATATTAAGGCCACACCAATTTAATTTGTTGGTTCTCGGATTTGCCTCTTCATTTTTTTCTGATTTGCAAAAAAAAAAGAAAAAAGATTCTGGTTCTGAATCAACTCAAAAATGCTCATATTTTGCCCCCAAACAGTTGAGGAAAT